AATCACATGGTAATAATATTTACTTACTCTTTTTTGAAAACATGCTGAATATTTGAATTTTTAGTTCAAAGCAAGTGTTTTTTCAGAGTTCAATAGAGCAGCAGAAGGAGAGCTTGCCAGTTTTGATGCCTGGTGATAATTTTCCCAAGTTCATAGCATTACCCTGTCCATGTCGGCCTCCGGCACAAGATAGATTTATCGTTGAGAGTCAAAAGCCGCCTCTAGTAGCTGTGCCTTTGTTTTAATTCATAGAGACATTACATTACTCCCATTTTATTAACTTATTTACAGTTCAATCAAATTCCCAGTTTACTGGAAACTGAAAATGTTTGCTGATGGACCAAAAAAATTACCTTATTTTGTTTTCCCAAACCTGAATGTACATATGTGAACGCTGAAAAAAAAATTAAGATTTATCGGAACATCCTTTCAATGTAATTTATCTTGGATTTTCTGTTAGTAATATTAAACTAAAATATTATAAGAAAATATCGAAATATAAAATAAATAAATAAATAAATAAATATTAACCATAGAAAATTCTGTTAAAGAAAAAAAAATTATAAGTTACTCGTGAAATACTCATCGGTATTTATTATATAGAAAGAATAAGCTTCCGTTGATGATGCTGATGGTAATTAGGAATGGTAACGAGGTGGGTATGGGACGAGTTAGCCATTCTCATTCCTGTCTCATCGGACATTTTTGTTACCTTATCTCATCCCCATATCCGTTTAAAGTGGGACGGGGCGGGGGCAAGTCTTCTGGCCCATTTATTTTTTGTTTTTATTTTTTATTTATTTTATTTTTTGTTTTTATATTTTTATGTCTTTACTTAGTAAATATTATTATTATTTTTTTACCAATTTATTATAAACAATCTATGCTCTCTTTAAAAATATGATAAATCTATTATCTTTGTTTGATAAAAACTTTAAATTTAAAATTAACTTTAAACGGTACGGGTAATGAGGCGGGGACTATGATTCCCTTACCCGCCTCATACCCACTTCGGTCATTGCCCCGTCCCTACTCTATTTACCCGATTAGGCGGGTAATTCTCGCCCCATTGGGGTGGGGCCCACAGGTTTCGAGTTGAACGAATTTTTTTTACCATTCCTAATGGTAATCACAAATGACTTCTTCTTTGCGATTAATGTTCATCGTCGGAGTCATTGTTGACTATTTTTTGATGAATTTAATCGAAGATTGCTTACACGCTATCGGTTTA